AAGGAAAACCAGCTGTAGACTGTTGGAGTGGAGCCTGGGGCAGGAGGGGACAGGAGGGGTGTCTGTAACCTATCGCCAGGGGACCATACCTGTGCCTTGAGGCTTTTCTTCCTGAATTGCAAAATATGAAGAAGGGTCAGTTCTCCAGAGCTCTGGACTCAGTCCTTCCACATCCAGCTGGGTGACATCACCTTTCTGAACACTTATTGATCCATTTGCATGTTGGGGGCTATATTGTTCATTGGACAGGTTGGGTGACTTGGTCCCCAGGCTCCCTCAATGTCTGTAATATATTAGGGACACTGCTAACTATTTATTTTTTTATTTTTATTTTTATTTTTTAGTCTTTTAGAGACAGGGTCTCCCTGTATCCCCAGTTGTCCTAGCACTCCCTGTGTAGAACAGGCTGGCCTTGATCTCACAGAGATCAGCCTGCCTCTGCCTCCCGAGTCCTGGGATTAAAGGTGTGCACTACCAGGCCTGACTTGGGACACTGCTGTTTAATAATAATGAAAACAATAATATATTTTAGCCAGGTGTGGTGGCGCATACCTTTAATTCCAGCACTCTGTGAGTTCAAGGCTAGCCTGGTCTACATAGTGAGTTGCAGGCCAGCTGGGGCTACAGGGAGACACTAGCTCAAAAACAAAAGCTGTAAAAATTTATATATATATATATATTTCAAACTTTGGGGTATGTTTTGGAGTTTGTAGTTAAGGACTGGTATGGGAGCAATTATTCTATTTATTTATTTATTTATTTATTATTTACTTATTTATTTATTTATTTTGAAGACCAATTCTCACATAGCCCAGGATGGTCTCAGAATTGCAGTGTATCTGAGGCTGACCCTGAACACCTAATCTTCCTGCCTCCACCTCTAAACTATTGGGCTGATAGACATGTGTAACTATTCTTGGCTGTTTTTGTGTTTGTTTGTTTTCAATTGAGGTTTTGTTCCTTCTCTAGATCAACATATTTTAAATTTCTTTTTGCATTCATTTATTCATTTTTACATGTACCATAGTACACATGTAGAGGTCAGAGGACAATTTGTGAGGGTTGGGTCTTAACTTCTACCACATGTGTTCTGGGGATTTAACTCAGGTTCTCTGACAAGGGCCTTTATCCATTGAGCCATCTTGCTGGCCCCAGGCAGACATATTTTTAAGATAAAGCTGCTGCAAATTTGAAGAGTGAGAGAGAAACACTGCACTGCAGATGTGACTTCTTAATGCTTTAAAAATCAAGCTTTGGGCTGGGGAAATGACTCGGTGGGGAAATGACTCGGTGGGGAAATGACTCGGTGGGTAAAACACTTGTCACACAAGCAGTTAGACTTGAGCTTCAATCCCCAGAACTCATGCAAAGCCAAGTACAGTAGCACCCATCTGTAATTCCAGTGTTCCTACAGGTAGATGGGAGGTAGAGACATGCAAAGCTGCAGAATCTTGTCTGCAAGTTAGACTGGCACGTGCAAAAGTGACCAACCAAAGGAAGACACGGTCTCAAACAAGGCGGAAGGTGAGAAATACTCAAAGTTGTCCTCTGAGCTACATACACACACTCTCACATGAACATGCTCACACACATATGTGGCTATGCATCAAACACACATGTGAACATACATACAGATCTAGCTGGGCATGGTAGCACATACCCATGATCACAATACTTGGGAGGCTAAGGTAGGGGGATCAGGAGGTCAGACTAGCCTTCATACCGAGACAGTTTCATAATAAAAACAAAGACAGAACAGAAAAAAAGAAAAAGAAAGCAGGACTGGAGAGATGACTTAGCAGTTAAGAGTACTAGCTGTTCTTGCAGAGGACCCAGGTTCAATTCCCAGCACCCACATGGCAGTTAACAGTCCATAACTCCAGTAACAGGGGACCTGATGCCCTCTTCTGGCCTCCATGGGCATTACACTTACAGGTACATGTACATACATGTAGGCAAAACACTCATTCACATAAAAAATAAAGAGCCAAGCCAGGCGTGGGAGGCAGAGGCAGGCGGATCTTTGTGAGTTTGAGGCCAGCATGGTCTCCACAGTGAATCCAGAACAGCTGGAGCTACAGGGAGACCCTGTCTCAAAAAGACCAAAAAACAAAAATATAAAGAGCCAGTCTTAGTGGCCCACATCTTCATTCCAAGCCCTCAGGAGGTAGAGGTAGGTGGATCTCTGTGAGATTGAGGCCAGCCTGGTCTATATAGCAAGTTTCAGGCCAGCTATGGCTACAGCGAGACTCTGTCTCAAACAAACAAACAAACAAACAAATTAATTAATTAATTTAAAAAAGATAAGAAAGCAGGAGAGGAAAGGAGGAAGGAAGGAAGGAAGGAAGGAAGGAAGGAAGGAAGGAAGGAAGGAAGGAAGGAAGGAAGGAAGGAAGGGGGATAGTTGATGGAACATTGTTCAAAATATATCAATTGAAAAACATACAATCCATATGTAATCATATGTATAGCTAACATAGGTAAATTCTGCCTCACCTGCTCCTTCCTGAGGGCCTTGAAACTTTGTGTCTGTCTCACCTGTCAGGCTATGACAGGTTCTTTTTGCTAAGTTGACCTAGGAGAAATACAATGAACCATAGCATAGGATTCCTGTGAGGATGTATGTCCCACACACTGCAGTGGAGACTGAGGGTAGGGATTGGGGAGGACTGCCTGCTGGACCCTGTGGACTTCTACTGGGATTATGCCAGAGATGGACCTGCATTGACTGTCCTCTGTCTTGCTTAACCCTCATCACCCATACCTAGGCCCAAATGTCCCAAACTTAAGCCCAGACACCAGAAGCACACAAAGGAGATGGGAAAATGAATTCATATGGTTTTTTGTTTGTTGGCCTTTTGTGGCCAGAGGTATGCTAGTGCACACTTGTAATCTCAACACACAGGAGGCTGAAGCAGGAGGATTGTAAGTTCTAGCCCATCCCAGGCCACATAGACACACACATGTACACATAAATAAAAATTAAAAATAAATCTTTGGGGCTGGGCATGATGGCACACGCCTTTAATCCAAGCACTTGGGAGGCAGAAGTCGGTGGATCTCTGCGAGTTTGAGGCCAGGCTGGTCTACATAGCGAGTTCCAAGTCAGCTGGGGCTACAGGGAGACCCTGTCTCAAAAAGACAAAAATAATAATAAATAAATAAATAATAAAATAAATCTTTGGGCCGAGTATGATGGCCCATGCCTTTAATTCTAGCATTCAAGAGGGAAAGAAAGGCAGATATCTGTGAGTTTGAGGATAATCTAGTCTTTACTTTTTTAAATTTTTTTGGTGTTTTTGAGACAGGGTCTCCCTGTAGTCCCAGCTGTCCTGGAACTCACTATGTAGACCAGGCTGGCCTTAAACTCACAGAGATCCGCCTGCCTCTGCCTCCCGAATGCTGCTACTACAGGCGTGCACCACCACGCCCAGCTGCTTACTTATTTTTATTTTATGTGTGTGAGGGTTTTGCCTGCATGTTTCTAAGTGTACCTGTGTCTTTCAATGCCCACGGAGACCAGAAGAGGGTGTTGGATAGCCCCTAGAACTAAAGTTATAGATGGCTGCTGCTAGCTGATACTGTGGGTGCTAGGAACTGAACCCAGATCCTCTGCAAGATCAGTCAATGTTCCTAACTGATGACCTGTCTCTTCAGCCTATTGTAGTTTTTTGTTGTTGTTGGTCAAAGCAGTGTTTTTTGGTTTTGTTTGTTTGTTTGTTTATAGACAGTCTCCCTGTGTAGCCCCAGTTTGCCTGGAACTTGCTATGCAGACCAGGTTGACTTTGAATTCACAGAGATCTGCCTGCCTCTGCCTCCTGAGTACTGGAATTAAAGGCGTGTGCCACAAGGCCCGGAGGTTTTGTTTTAAGAATCATTTGTGTACCAAGCATAGTGGTACATGCCCATGATCCCAACACTCAGGAGGTAAGGCAAGAAGATCAGGAGCTCAGGACCAGCTTGGGCTACATGAGACTCTGCCTCAAAAACAAACAAAAAAAAACCCTAATACCTCCAAAAAAGTCATTCATACTCACTTTAGGAAATGTGGAAAGTTCAGGTGAATCAGAGAGTCACTCCACACTCCAGACTATGTGTGGTGACAGTCTGATGTTTTTTCTGGAGGCCCTGTTTCCTTCAATGCCCTGTTTGGTTTTGTTTAGCTTCCATTACTGCATAGAGTGATGCTTTCTGATTCACAGTTTACAGAGCTGACTTCATGTGCTTGGAACAAGCCTGTGAGGGTTGCAACAGCTAGGACACTGTCCCCTCTGGGAATTGTGGGGGTGGGGCACATCCCCTCCCCTGTGTTCTCAGTTTTGAGAACCTCGAGTTCACAGCAGCAGGGACAGCATAAAGCAGTAGCCTTTTAATCTTATACTTTCAACTTTCAGAATCACCCTTCTAGAATCTAACTCTGCTTTTTTCTTCTTTAAACTCTAGAACTTCTGAACACGTGTCCGTCTCAGTGAACGGTAGCGAACCATTTGTTTTGCCTTCTTGCATTCTTTGAGTCTTAGTAACGGGAATGTTTTGTCTAAGTGAGACTCAAAGCCATCAGTGGGACAGGAACCAATGTTAAGTACTCATGATGTGGCCAGACAACCCTGGGAAAATGGAGCTGTTGACAGCACTGCTTCTCTGAATCAGATGGTATTTCTTTATGTCTTCAGTTTTAAAAGCTCCCTGGAAGCAACCTGATATCCAGAATCCTCTCTGAATAGGGTTGGAGGAAGTGCTGAAGTTTTCATTAAACATATTGAAGTCTCATCATTTGAAAAAAAGCCCAAATACCCAAAGCAAAAGCCATAGGAGCTCTGAGTAGAGAGCATCTTCCTGTGATACCCTGGTCACTGTCTAGACAATTCAGCATGTGGCCTCTGGGCCGGACCATCTACTGGGCAAAGTTCCAGAACCCTGAGATGTCTTGGGATCCATCTGCTTCTGGGAGCAGCTGGTGGTTACCAGGGTGTCTTTTCCTAGCCCTGTCTTGATGTCTTTTTTGCTGTGGTCTGTTCTGATATATGGCCTCCTCTGCTGTGAAGTCAAGGGATGACCTTGTTCTTGGGGTGGCACAACTGCAAAGGAAGGAGACCTGTGTGTAGAAATCTGTGTGGAGAGAGAACCACCAAGCATGTCTCCATCAAACCAGTCCGTAGAAGGCCTTCCCCAGGAGGCTTCCAACAGATCCCTGAATGCTACAGGGACTTGGGACCCAGAAGTCCTCCAGGCTCTCCAAATCTCTCTTGTGGTGGTCCTTTCCATCATCACGCTGGCCACCGTTCTCTCCAACGCCTTTGTACTCACAACCATCTTACTCACCAAGAAGCTTCACACTCCAGCCAACTATCTCATTGGCTCCTTGGCCACCACTGACCTCCTGGTTTCTGTTTTGGTTATGCCCATCAGCATCGCCTATACCACTACCGGAACCTGGAACTTTGGCCAAATCCTGTGTGACATCTGGGTGTCTTCTGACATCACATGCTGCACAGCCTCCATCCTGCATCTCTGTGTCATTGCTCTGGACAGGTACTGGGCCATCACAGATGCCCTGGAGTACAGCAAACGCCGGACAGCAGGCCACGCTGCGGCCATGATTGCAGCAGTCTGGGTCATCTCCATCTGCATTTCCATCCCTCCGCTCTTCTGGCGACAGGCCACGGCTCACGAGGAGAAGTCAGATTGCCTGGTGAACACATCTCAGATCTCCTACACCATCTACTCCACCTGTGGGGCCTTCTACATCCCGTCCATCTTGCTCATCATCCTCTACGGCCGCATCTATGTGGCCGCCCGGAGCCGCATCTTGAAACCACCCTCCCTCTACGGGAAACGCTTCACCACAGCCCAGCTCATCACCGGCTCTGCAGGCTCTTCACTCTGCTCGCTCGACCCCAGCCTCCACGAGAGCCACTCGCACACGGCGGGCTCCCCTCTCTTTTTCAACCAGGTGAAAATCAAGCTGGCCGATAGCATCCTAGAGCGCAAGAGGATCTCCGCAGCACGAGAAAGGAAAGCCACCAAGACCCTGGGCATCATCCTGGGGGCCTTTATCATCTGCTGGCTGCCTTTTTTTGTGGCGTCCCTGGTCCTCCCCATCTGCAGGGACTCTTGCTGGATCCACCCAGCCCTCTTTGAGTTCTTCACCTGGCTGGGCTATTTAAACTCACTCATCAATCCCATCATCTACACCGTATTCAACGAAGACTTTCGGCAGGCTTTTCAGAAGGTTGTCCATTTCCGGAAGGCTTCCTAGTCGAATTTGGGGGTGACTCTTGTTTATCTTGTTATGTCTTGTAACCCAACTGGGATTGCCTTTTGTTGTTGCTCTTCCTGAGACCTGGATGGATTCATGATTCTTTGGTCTTGGATCACTCAAAAGTCTTGTTCTGTGTTCTATTGTATAGCATCTTTGTGACTTCTAGACTGCCCAAGCCATTGTGTGAAAGGGGCAGCACTGAAGACTTCTCTTAACATAGTATTTTCATGGCTCTTGGGGTGGAAGAAACAGGAGCCATGGGACTGAGGAACTGTCTGATTCTCTAGAAAAAAGAGCCCAGGCACAGAGGGAAGGCTCTAGTCTACCTGGGATTTTATATGACCTGAAATGGGAGAGAATTTGGACAGAATGGAGGGGTCTGCATCTCCTATAGCCCTTAATTAGAAAATAGCACCCAGGGATTTCTCCACTGGGTCTTCCTTATGCTGAATCACTCTGGTTGTCTGAGGGGAGTGGTAACCAATCCCACACAGTGACTTGTAAATATGAAAGGTAGCAACAGGGACCAGATCCACTGCTCTACGTCCTTCATTCTTCCAAATAGTTCTATACCACCTTAATGTTCTGAAGTTAAAAACCACCGTCACCCATTCAAGTAGACTGACAAGTGTTGGACCCAGCAAGTTTTGAGTGGGACACCCCACTCTGATTTTTTTTCTGAATTGTTTTTTTATATCTCATTCTCAAGTTCTTAAAATGTTGAGTCTTAATCAAATAAAAAGCATGAGACATAGTGAGTAGTGACGTCTCTTTTAAATTTTTTTTATTATTTTTATTTTATGTGTATGAGTGTATGTGAGTGCATCTGTGTCATGCAATGTATGTGAGTGCATCTGTGTCGTGCAATGCCTTGGAGGTCAGAAGAGGGCTTTGGATTCCCCTGGAAGTGGAGTTAAGGATGGTTCATAGCCACCATGTGGGTGCTGGGAATTGAACCTGGGTCCTCTGCAAGAGCACTCAGTGCTCTTAACCACTGAACCATCTCTTCAGCCCCATGGAGTCTCTTTTAAAAATATATATATTTATTTTTGTGTATGTGTGTGTGATATCTATGTGTGTGTGTGTGAGGGTACAGGATGCTACAGTGCATGTGTGGAGATCAGAGGACAAGCTCAGGTGTCAGCTTGCCTTCTATTATGTTTGAGTCAGTCTCTCTTGTTTCTGCCACTGCCCTACATATGCCAGGCTAGACCTTCTATCTCACCACAGGCGGGCTGGGATTACAGACATGCAACACCAACACCACATTGGGCTTTTCACATGAGTTCCAGGCCTCAGATTGTCATGCTTACACAGGAAGCTTTTAACTTGCTGAGTCATCTCAGCGAGTGAGTAGTAAAATTTGGGGGTGATACTTTTCCCCTTCTGCCTGGGTGTACAAACATTCAATTCACCTCATTTCTAGCATTCACTGAGCACCCACCTCACGCCAGGTCTTGTGCCCAAAACTGTTGGGATTTGCTTTGAGAGTGAGCCTCATAACCCTGGATGTCAGTGTAGCATGAGGATTAAAATCTCAGGACCTAAGGGCTCAAAAGATGGCTCAGTGGTTAAGAGCACTGGTTACTCTTGTGGAGGACCAGGGTTCGGTTCCCAGCACCCACATGGCAACTAACAACCATCCTTAACTCCAGTTCCAGGGAATCTGACACCTTCTTCTGGCCGCCACGCACATTGCATACATATGCGCACTTACATACATGCAGGCAAAACACTCATACACATAAAATGAAAATTAATTAGTCAATTAATTGATTTAATAAAACTCAAGGGCTGGGCATGGTGGCATATGCCTTTAATCCCAGCACTGGGGAGGCAGAGGCAGGTGATCTCTGTGAGTTCAAGGCCAGCCTGATCTACACAGTGAGTTCCAGGCCAGTTGGGGCTATAGGAAGACCCTGACTCAAAAAAAAAAAAAAAGAAAGAAAAAGAAAAAAGTATACATTGTGTTTTTACAAGAAAAAAAAATAAATGAAAAAAAAAAAAAACCCAAACAAACAAAACAAAACTTCAGGACCTGGGGCCAAGGCTCAGGATATAGTTCAGTGACAGGGTGCTTGCCTAGCATGTGTGAGGTCTTGGGTTTGGTTCCAGCCCTGAAGGAGGTGGGAGGGAAAGACTGACTCAAGACCTGATGCTTCAGTTCAAAACCAAGTGCTACCAATCCCCAGGTGGGTGCACTTTCTCTTTCTTTCTTTCTTTCTTTCTTTCTTTCTTTCTTTCTTTCTTTCTTTCTTTCTTTCCTTTCTTTCTTTCTTTCTTTCTTTTGTGTGTGTGTGAGTGTATTGCTTGCATGTGTGTAAGTGTACCCCCGTGTTGTGCAATGCTCACAGATGTTAGAAGAGGGTGTCAGATCCCCTAGAACTGGAGTCAGGACAGTTGTTAGCCAGTACGTGGGTGTTGGGAATTGACCCCAGGTCCTCTGCAAGAGCAGTCAGTGCTCTTAACTGCTGAGCCATCTCTCCAGCCTGGGGTATACTTTTCTTAATCCTTCTATGCCTCACTTCCCTCAAGTATAAATGACCCTCAAGTATAAAACGGAGATGATAATAGCTATGTTGTATAAATGACATGGCTCTTGACACAAGATTGTTTATCATTTTGGAGATATGAACATTGACCTACTCAAGGTCAAGGGGCAGTAAAAAAATCACAACAGCTACTTTTTATCAAGTGCCCTTGATGCCTCTTCCATCCATTTTTCTCATTTGTTCTTCCTCATTTTACAGATGCACGAGAGAAACATGCCTGTCTGTGATTAACGGAAGGCTCCATAGAGAGACACCACTTCACAGGCGTGGGAAAGATGAGCCCTGGGAGATGGGAGGACAAGGGAGTGGGTCTGCCATGAGGCAGTTCTGGGGAGAAGGAGCAGAACAGAGGAGGGCAGAGCAGGCCAGCCGAGGTGAGAAAGAGAGGGAACAAATCTTCAGAGGTGCTCTGCGGGGGCCTCTGTGTGTTGAAGGAGGGGTGAGAGTCAGAATATGGGGCGTCAGGAAAGGAAAAGGAAGGCTAGGAGGGAGAAGAGGTTAGTTACCCGGAGGGAGAGGTTTGTGCTGATGTGTTTCAGAGCCGTCCCTGGACCACCTGCATCTGTCTTCCCAGGTGCTTGCTGACACTGGGTCCCTGGTCTCAATCTCAGATCTGACGAGAACGAGGAGTTTATTTATTTATTTATTTATTTTGAGACTGACTGTGTTGCCCAGGTTGGCCTCAAGCTTCTGACCTCCTGCTTCAGCCTCTGGAATAGCTGAACTATGGGTACATAACCATGCCCAGTGTCCTAGGTCATTGGCTAAGAGTCTGTATTCTAAATAAACCCTCTCTCTACACTTAGGTGATTGTTATGCTTCTAGAACTTGGGAATGGTGGAGTCAGTTTCTAGAGGATTGTGAGGCCTCCCCCTGAGCCCAGGGACACTCAGTATTTTCACTGTTGTCTTCTTTGCCTGGTGGACCTTACCCTTCTCTTTCCCTTTATTTCTTTGTCCCTCCCTCCCTCCCTCTTTCCCTCCATCTCTCCCTCCCTCCTTCCTTCTCTCTTGCCCTCCTCCCTCCCTCCCTCCTTCTGTCCTTCCCTCCTTCCCTTCTGTGTGTGTTGTTTGTGGGAGATGTATGCCTGTATGTACCTGTGTGTGTGAGTATACCTGCCCATGTGCACACATGCAGAAGCCAGAGAAAGACATCAGGTATCTTCTTCTATCCACCTCTACGTTATTACCTTGAATTCCCTTCTCACTGAACCTAAAGCTAGCTGTTTAGGCTAGGCTGGCTGGCCAGCAAGCTCCCAGGAACTGCCTGTCTCAGCCCCTCAACACTGAGGTTATAGACTTACATGACCATGCCTGGCTTCTATGTGGGTCCTGAGGATTTGAACTCAGGTCCTCATGCTTGCACAGCAAGTGCTCTTACCCATTGAGTCATACTCCATCCCCCCATTTCTTTTTCTTTTTTAGAGACAAGATCTCATATAGCCCAGGCTCTCCTCCAATTCTCTATAGAGCTGCATGACTTTAAACTGAACCTCCTGCCTCCACCTCCCTGAGTGCTGGGATTACAGGTGTGCACCACCATAGACAGTTTATGTGGTGCTGGGGGTGTGCACTGGCCAAGCACTCTGTCAACCAAGTTATATCCCTGGCCACTGCTTTCTTCCTTTGAGGTTTCTTTGCCCCGACTCTTCCACATTGCTTTGAGCCATCTTCCTGATGAAGGAAAGCCTAGGAATTTAGAGTCTTAGCAGGAGCTTGAGGTGTGGCTCAGTGACAGTGGGCTCAGGCTTTGATGTCACATACAGGGTGCTGAGTCCCAGTAGTGCCACTTAGCAGTTGTGTGGCCTGGGGGCAAATTGCCTACAGTCTGTAGCTTCCAGTCTACTGAGCTGGGGCATTAGTATTGAACCCATGGGGTTTTGTGAGGATTGAATGAAATAGGGATTGTAAGCACTTTACACAGGAAAATGTCACTGGCTGCTACTTGAGAGCTTTGAGCAAAGAAGTTCAAATGTCAAAGGCTTACATGCCTTTCCTGACTAGAACAAAAGTCAACAACTTTTTAAAACAGCTTTATTGAGATACAACTCACATGTCATACAACCTATCCCTTTAAAGGGCTGGAGATTTGACTCAGTGGTAGTGTTTCAAGGCCATGGGTTTAATCTCCAGTGTCGTCATCATCATCATCATCATCGTCTTCTTCATCATCTTATTATTATTATTAATTATTATTATTATTTTGGGTTCCTTTGAGACAGGGTCTCCCTGTAGTCACAGCTTGCCTGGAACTTACTATATAGACCAGGCTGGCCTCAGTCTCACAGAGATCCTCCTGCATCTGCCTCTCAAGTGCTGAGATCAAAGGCACCCCCATGCTCAGCCTTACTGGACTTTTTATATAAATGGAATCCTTGCTGCTTGATGGGGCCTGTGATTCCCACACTTAGAAGACTGTGGCAGGACAAGTAATGGAAGTTTGAGACTAACTGCTATATGAGGCCAGTCAGCACTACAAGCATAACAAGACCCTGTCTCAACATAACAAAACAAAACAAAACACAGCAGAAAAATTAAAACCAGAACCCTACAGCAGGTGGTCTTGGAGTCTGGCTTCTTTTACTTATATAACATTTTTATGGCTCATCCCTATTCCAGCGTATTATTTCTTATTTATTTATTTATTTATTTATTTGTTTGTTTGTTTGTTTATTTATTATCTTTTCAAAGCAGGGTCTCCCTGTAGCCCCAGCTGTCCTGGAACTCACTATGTAGACCAGGCTGGCCTTGAACTCACAGAGATCCACCTGCCTCTGCCTCCCTAGTGCTGGATCTACAGGCGTGTGCCACCACGCCCAGCTCCTATTTATTTATTTTAAAAAATATTTTATTTAGGCGGGCATGGAGACGCACACCTTCAATCCCAGCACTCAGGAGGCAGAGGCAGGTGGATCTCCGTGAGTTCAAGGCCAGACTGGTCTACATAACAAGTTCCAGGCCAGCTGGGGGCTACAGATGGTTGTTAGCTGCCATGTGGGTGCTGGGAATTGAACCCGAGTCCTCTGCAAGAGAAGTCAGTGCTCTTAACTTCTGAGCCATCTCTCCAGTCCCTTATTTATTTTGAGACAGGGTCTTACTCTGTAGCCCTGGGTGAACTGGAACTCACA